TGAACCAGCCCTTAGGCCCATTTATGATAATGGGCCTACTCAGGAAAACATTGTAAAAATAGCACGGTATAATCAGTTTTCGGAGTGGTCATTCAAAAATAGCCAGCATTTATGAAGTCAATGAAAAATAGCCACTATTTTGCTGCAACAGAGACCGGTACAGCATAATATACAAGAGTTCGGTGCACCTGTGTATGAACTCCAGTATAATATACTTGAGACTGGAGCACTGGTGCTCCAAACTCCAGTATATTATACTGGACAATTATACTTGCTGGAACTCGAGTATATTATGCTGGAGTTCTAGTGTACTTATGCTGGAACTCCATCATATTATGTTGGAGTTCCAGTATACTTATCCTGGAACTTCAGTATAATATACTGGCGTATTTTCCAGATTTTGAACAGTGTTTTCGCTCAGATTTATCTATACATGAAAAGTGGCTAAATTTCGATTACTTTTGAAATTGAGTTATTTTTTGAATGACCAATTGTAAATCTGGCTATTTTTGAATTTCTCCCGAAAACATTTCAACAGGGAGAAATTCAAAAATAGTCAGATTTACAAGTGGTCATTCAAAAATAGCCACAATTTCAAAAGTAATCGAAATTTAGCCATTTTTCATGTAAAGATAAATCTTAGCGAAAATACTGTTCAAAATCCGAAAAAATACTCTAGTATAATATACTGGAGTTCCAGTATTATAATATACCAGTTCAGTCTCCAGTATATTATACTGGAACTTTTTGCGTGTTGGGGTTCCAGCTTAATATGCTGGAAGTTCATACAAATGTGCACCGATCTCCAGTATATTATGCTGGAACATTCCGTGTTGCAGCAAAATAGTAGCTATTTTTTAATGATTTTGCAAATGCTGACTATTTTTGAATGACCAATCCGAAAACTAGCTAGCCATGCTATTTTTACATTTCAATGCAAAAAATGATATTGAGAAATTGATACCGAAACCAGAAGACAATGGTATTCTTTTATGCGTGAAATTCTATTTCAAGTTTTTTATCCATATTTTCTTATTTGACAAATTTGTGGATTTAGATTACATTAAAAGTCAATGTATTAGTTATAGTGTATTCTAGAATACATAATATATAAGATACGTATGTAATATTTTCATGTGCACATAAAGTAATAAAATATAATGATGACATCAAAATCGTTCAAGATTAAGGGTGTGTTTGGAACGAAGGAAAATGTTTTCCGTGCAAAATGTTTTTTTGGAAAATGAGTGGTTTTATCACTTATTTTTTCTTGTTTGGCTTGTTAGTGAAAACTTTTTTTCGGAAAATATTTTCTACTCTCCTCACCCCCTTCCCCCAAGTCCCTATGTTTCCTGTGCTCCCTCNCACAAACCCAAATGAACTAATGTGTTGCTTTATTTATTTACGCAAAAAAACGTTGAAGTTTGTGCTCCATAACTAAAAAAAATATTCTTTCTTTTGGTTGAAAAAGAAAGTATTATTCCTACAATTTAAAATACTCTTTCATTCAAACTTCTGATTTTCGGAACTACTAATTTAAAATTCAGGATATAAGATTCGAACTTCTAGACACAATTTTCGTACTTTCGAACACGATGTACTGAAGTTTGAATTTTGAGGTTTAAACTCTAGGACGCCGTATCCTGAAATTTGAGCGAAATTAGCTAATTTTTAAATAAATTGTATACTTTGAGTTTATTTTAAACACCATACTTAAAAGTAGCTACCTGGAGTCATTTTCACATGAAAGTATTAAATAGTAGAGAAATTAGGCTGGGCCTTTATGGGCTTAGGCATGGATACGAGAACAGTTGGGTCTCTACTGTATCACTAGTTCTCTTGGGCCATTTTTTAAATACCGTCAATTTTAAGGACATTGGACTAAGACCAGCTTTCTCACGGGCCATTTCCGTCCATCATCCTGAAAATTTCGGTTGCTGCAAAACATAAAAGCGTTTTAGTGTCAACTAAAAGATTGGTACGATCAGATATCTCAAACATTTATAAAGGAAGAACAAAACTCTCATTAGAATGGTATTACTAATTAATATCTCTTGTCCCGTATTACGAATTGGAAGCAGAAAAACCTTTAACTGGAGATAGGAATAGGCCCCATGACTACTTGTCTTTTTCATTAAACTCATATGGAATACTTTTTTCCCTTTGATAAGGGATCAATTCCTTAATTTGGCGATTTCATGCATTACTAAAAGTTGGTTAATCTGGCATATATAAACCCAAGCTTTAGGGTGAGCCCTTGCTGACACATAGTTGAAGTGTAGGTGACAAATATTTAGGCCTCATCATTATTTATTCTTCTACTGTAATATCTTGATTAATCACAAAATAAAAACTCAAAAGGGTGTAACTTAGTAGTCAATAAAGTAGCAGAAAATCACGAAGTTTTATGCTTAGGGGCAGAACTCGCATACGCCTTACGGGTTCAGCCGAACCCAATAGCTTTGGTCCATAGCCTGTATTTGTCTCATAAAATTTATTAAATATGTATAAATTATTAATTTGGAACCTAGTAACTTAAAGGGATCATAATATCGAATCCATAAATTTTAAATCCTAACTCTGTCTCTATTTATATTAAAATAATCCTCGAGGAACAAAATTACTAGACTATTCCTTCTCGTTTGTGTTTCAAGTTATTGCAGGTACACGATGAAATTAATTACTATGCACACAGGTTGATTCGAACATCACGATAATTACACAGAAAGCTTGACGACTAAGTACGAGATTAAGCTTGCTCCTATTAGTGTACCTTAAAACCACAATAATTTGGAAGGGGATATCTTTGTCCCAAAGCAGGAAACAAAATGAAGGGACAAAGGCTCCCTCTTTCATGCTTTTGTTTACTTCTGTTTTCCTATGGAATGTTTTTACCATCTACTCGTTTTTTGTGCCACTCTTTCTTGTCTGTCCTTTTTACTTTCACTTTCTTTAGCTATGGTCTTTTGCCGTGCTTAGATTACATGCTTTACTAATTCCTATAAGAGAGATGCTAAACGACCACACCAGAACCCAACTTTGGTCACACCAGTAAAAAGACATGAATGATCCTCTAACTAATTAACCTATATTTATCCCTCCAAAACACAAAATTAAATTTCAAGTCTTGAAATATACGAAAATTAAATGTTAGGAGATAAAAAATCTTATGTATTATATTTGTATTTATGTGTATTTTATGTTTATACAAATTATACGATTTAGTGTGTATACAAATTATTATATTTTCTTCCTTTCTTAAAAATACATACGGTATACGATTTATTATACTTCCTTCATATCAAACCAAGTCAAGTGGACACTTTACCCTATCTAAAAAATGGATTCAAACCAAGAAAATTCGGTGGTGCAAGAAAATATGAATTCATATCTACTTATTATTTATATTTCATAATTAAATTGCTAATTATATCTCAAAAATATAACGATTGGTGTCAATTGACTAGTGGAACCATAATAAACGTAATTATATGGTCGTTATCAATATACGCATGGCCTTAATGAATCAAATTATATGTTGGCTACTATACACATATATATAGACGTTCAATGTAACTATATATAAAGCGCAACAATGTAATTAACTAGCATCAATATCTATTTATTATTTATATTTCATAATTAAATTGCTAATTATATCCTAAAATATAGCGATTGGTGTCAATTGACTAGTGGAACCGTAGTAAACGTAATTTATGGTCGCTATCAATATCTATTTATTATATATATATATATAAAGACGTTCAATGTAACTATTTATAAAGCACAACAATGTAATTAACTAGTATCAATATCTACTTATTATTTATATTTCATAATTAAATTGCTAATTATATCTCAAAATATAACGATTGGTGACAATTGACTAGTGGAACCGTAGTAAACGTAATTTATGGTCGCTATCAATATCTACCTATTATATATACTAGTTTAGTGATGACTATAGTTGCATAGTTATTTAAAATATAATATAATAGTTAGTTGAGTCATATACTTTAATATCAAACATATTAAATTCTTATGTTTAAAATAAAACTTTATAGTCACAAAAGAGATGAAACATGATATAGTATGAGAACGAAATGAAATTAAGACATTCAATATAACTATAAAGAGCAAAAAAAATGAAAGTAACTTTAAAGCAATTGAATTATATAGTTGCTACGAATAATTAGTGGCCGATAAGGATGTTCATTTAGCTTATTTATAAGGTTGCACCTTAAGTTCTTCTTCTATATTTTTTATGGACTTGTTCATTCGGCTTATTTATAAGGATGTTGTTACAGAGAGGTCTGACTGTACTACTTGTATAATTTAATTCTCTAATAGAGGAGATTCAATTGACCCGTTCAACACAGTTGGTTCCGACATTGCTTATTGTTAACTTATAAGAGTCAAATATTTAAAACTATTTTAAGCACTAAATATAATTTTATTATTAAAATTTATGTGTTTGGATAAAATGACATAACTGATGATGAATAATTGGTGTGCTTTGTTAAAAAATACTGATAAATATTTTTTTGTTAAAATGTTTGAAACGTCGTTAAATTAAATTAGTTTAAATAATTCATATTTGACGACAGTTTTTTAACCAACAGCCTAGTATAAGATCATTTTAAAAAATTGAAAAAACAAAACAACAACCTAGTATTGTTTGTCATTTGTAATAAACAACAAAAATTTAATTTAATTATTTATGTATATAATTAACTTTTAATCATGACTTGTTGCTTATTATTAAATATTTTAATCTTGTGATATTTTGTGGTAATATAATAAATTTTAAGTGTAAACAGATTGAATACATTTTCATGATTTTTTTTATTATTGATAAAATACTAGATTTTTTCAATAACTTTGTTTAGGTTATATTCTTTTTTCAAAGTTGTGCGAAAAGTATATGCGGCAAAGTTCCCTCCTTGTTTTTTTCAATTCCCCAAATCCCTCTTTTAATTTACTTCTGTCGCATCTGTAATCCTAACTCTCATCCCCTTCTTCTAGGCCATTTCTTCGCCCATCTCTCTATGTGATCTTCAACTCTCATCTAGCCCTTGCTCCAGTAAGATCTGCCACATTAACACCATAATATATCATTTCAATTTCTCTCTTTCTCACAAGCACATACACACTATTTACAATGTTTGATTTTCTTCAAAAAAAAGTTTTTTATTTAATAATTTTAGAAGACTAAATCTGCAACGTTGTGCATTTATTTCTCATGCTTCTTTTGTTTCATTACAGATCCAGGGCATGTCATATTATTTCTCATGCAGAATTTCCTTTCCTTGCATTTGTTGGGAATTTATAAATTTGGTTTTCTCCTGAAGGTATGCTGCATTTATGTATTAGGGTTCTTATTTATTGTAATTTTATTGTTAAGGTATAAAGAAATTTTGTTTGGTTTTCTTACTTTTGGAGTGGTTAAATACTTAAAATTTTATATCTTTACTCTTAATTCTTGTGATTATTTGTAGCCAAAGAAGAATTGATAATAAATACTCCATTGCTTAAACTCGAGTAAATATCTTTACTTATATCCCATTTGCTTCACTATTAATGTTTGAAAGTTTAATTTATTATTACTTGATTTTCTTTTCACAGGTATATGAAGGTGGAAATTTCTTCAGGATTGAATATTAGACAAGTGGTTACATTAGCAATTTGAGGAAGCAACAAATTTTTATATATTTTTTAATTTGACAATATTCTTGTATTTCCATTAGACTTTAATGTTGGATATATTTTACTTTATTTGTGTTTTAACTTATGAAGTTTGTAACGAAATATTATCTCAATATAGTATTAGTTCTTTTTAATTTTATGTTCATGGATGGAGATTTTTGTTGTTACCTTGCANCATGGATGGAGATTTTTGTTTTTACCTTGCATGTTATATCCTGTTACTTCCAATTTATATAATAATAATTTCTAGAATTAAAGAAAAATTAGGTAACTAATGACAAAATAAAGTTTTTCAAGGATTATCTTATTGACGATGGATTAACTTTGAACTTTGTGACTATTATATTTATCACTAATTATGACATTTTATGATAATTTTTTTTGTCCGTAAAATAATATATTTAGTGATCAGATGATAGTTTTAACTACAAAATTGTAAACCATTTTTATAAAAGTAAATTGTCACAAATTTATATATTTAGGGACGAAATATTATTTGTATCTAAAAGGCGATCTTTAGTGACAAAATTACATTTATTCAACTATGAAATATACGTAACTTTAGAGACAATTGATATCGTTACTAATTAAACTAAATAATTAGTGACAAAGGTCGTTTGTCGGCATTAATAACCTTTTTAGTGACGAAAACAAACAACCAGCTATAAATTTTTTATATTTTTTTTTACGAATAAGGGGTTGGAAAAAAAACATCGTTGTTAATATAACGATATTTAGCGACAAAACACGAAGTTGTCTTTGTATACCCTCTTTTAAGGACGAGCAATTGACGAATTAATTTTCGTCACAAAATTTTTTTGTGACGAAATATAAGCTTTAAGTGACAAAATAATTCGTCACAGATAATCAAATTTGTTGTAGTGATTAAGTAGGGTATCATGTGTTTAAATAGTAGGGCTTTGAAGACCTACTAAAAAATATAAGAAATACACACTCAATACTAAACATATACGAAATGCACAATTAAATACATGTATATAGATGAGTTATTTCGAATTATATGAGTGTATACTACAAAAAAAAGGATGGAAATACGTAAAAAAAAAAAAAAGCTTTATAGAAAATAGGGTTTGAACCCTTGAGATCTTCCATGTATTGGGAAGACAAATATTTAATAGTGGGAGAGAAATATTCAAAAGGTTATTGAAAGGGCATTTTGGGTATAAAAATACGCCCGAAACCCTAATTAGGGCTGTGACGACCCAACCGGTCGTCTTAAGAATTAACGCCCTGATCCCCTATTAACTACTTTTCCCGTATTTATTTCTGCTATTTTGGTTTGCCGGAACGTTTGGTTTTGAGTTTCGGAGAGTTTTGGGACACTTAGTCCCTAAATGAGAGCTTAACATGTTGGGAAGTTGACCGTAGTCGGAGCAGTGTGAAGACGGCCTCGGAATAGAAAATTGATGGTTCCGTTAGCTCCGTTAGGTGATTTCGGAGTAGGAGCGTGATCGGAAGGTGTTTTGGAGGTCCGTAGCTAATTTAGGCTTGAAATGCCGAAAGTCGAATTTTCGAAGTTTCCGGTCCGATAGTGAAATTTTATTCCGAGGGTCGGAATGAAATTCTGGAAGTTGCAATAGTTCCGTCATGTCATTTGGGGATGTGTGCGCAAAATTTTAGGTCATTCGGACATGGTTTCGTTAGGTTTTTGATCGAAAACGTATTTTGAGGAAATTTGGAGTTCTTAGGCTTAAATTCTTGATTAATCTGAGGTTTCGATGTTGTTTTAGGTGTTTTAAGGATTGGTACAAGTTTGAATAAGGTATTAGGTGACGTTGGTGTTTTTGGTTGAGGTCTCATGGGCCTCAGGATGATTTTAGATGATTGACGGAAAGATTTTGAAGTCAGAGATTTCAGAAAATTTGCTAGTGTCTGTCATAACCGCACCTGCGGTTTGGGTTCCGCAGGTGCGGAGCCGCGAAAGCGGATTTTCGATTCTCCTTCAGGTTTCGCAGATGCGGAAGCACCGCAGATGCGGTTAGAAGTATCGCAGATGCGGCTCCTTGGCTGTTTATTTAAAGTCGCAGATGCGACATGTGGTCCCCAGAAGCGGGACCGCAGATGCGGTCCCAGAGCCGCAAATACGGAATTCGCTGGGAAGAACATATAAATAGTTGCCTTTGCGAAAATTGGCTATTCTTCCACCATTTTCATCCGGGTTTGGAGCTTTTGTGAGGGATTCTTGAGGAAAGCAAAGGGAAAACGATTGGAGGTAATGTCCTTGACTTTATAACTCGTTTTTATGTGATTAAAAACCTAAGTAATGGTGAGAAATTTGGAAAAACAGGTAATTAGGGCTTGAGCTTAAGAGACCTTTAATTGAGGATTTGAGGGGTCATTTGGACTCCGATTTCAGTGTTCTTGTTATGTATAGACTCGAGAGAGTACGAGGGTTCTGAAAATATAAATTTCACCCGATTCCGAGACGTTGGCCTGAGGGGAGTTTTGGTCATTGTTTTCGCGTATTAGCTTAGAATTTAATTGTAGAATCGATTACTTGAAGTGTTATTTACAATATGCGATTGAATTGAATAGATTTGGGCCATTTGGAGTCGGATACTCGTGGCAAAAGTGTGGTTTCAAGTTGATTTTGAGCCGGTTCGAGGTAAGTGGCTTGTCTAACCTTGTGTGGGGGACCTCCACCTTAGGATTGATATGTTTGGTAATTGAATTTCCTTGTGCGTGAGGTGGCGGGCGCGTACTTGTGCAAATTGTTGGAAATCCAGTTTTCTTAAAGTATTTATTAGCATGATTCCTTTCTTGCTTTATTATACTTGCAAAATTTAGCATGTTGTTAGTTAGAAAACATGTTTAGTTGACTTGAATTGCCTATTTGCTTAAATTGCCTTGATTGCACTACCTGAAGCATGTTAGGCGAGAATTACTCGTTTCCTTGATATGAAATTTCATTTATGAATATCTTCTTGTTGTTGCTGTGTATTTACATTGGGACTATGGATGTGGGATTCCGGTAGCTCCCCCCTTGTCTGTTTACTTTGGGACTACGGGTTAGATTCCCGGTAGATCCTCGTGCATATTTACTTTGGGACTAAGGGTTGTGTTCCCGGTAGCTCCCCCTGCACAGTTATATGGAACTACGGGAATGCACCTGGTAGATTCTCCCAGTACTGGGTATTTACATTTGGGACAACGGAACAGGATTCCGGTAGATCCCCGCGCACTATGAGTTGGACTACAGGACGATATCCTAGGAAATCCTTCATATATATATATATATATATAGGACTACGGGATGATATCCTGGGAGATCCACTGGACATGTAAAGATGGGACTACAGGACGATATCCTGGAAGGTGCCCTCGGTTGTTATCTTTGTGTTGAGCTGTATTTCTTTCTGTGGCTTGTGTTGTCTCTATTCTAGTTGTTGTTGTTCTGTCAATTCTATGTTATTTCTTACTATTGCACTTATCTATACTGTTTTATTCCACACAGTTAACCCTTATATTGTATTTAATCTCAGTAGGGCCTTGACCTTCCTCGTCACTACTCAACTGAGGTTAGGCTTGGCACTTACTGAGTACTGCTGTGGTGTTTTCATGCCCCTTCTGCGCATATTTTTCATGTGCAGATCCAGGTACCGCTGATCAGGCCTACTATCGTTGAGGGAGGCGACTTCTTAGAGACTCCGAGGTACATCTGCCGCATCTGCAGACCAAGAAGTCCCTTTCTATTCCTGCCTTTAGTATTTAACCCTTCTGTACTTTTCTGTTCTTTATTAGAAATTCCGGAGTTAGAGCCATGTAGTATTTCTTTTCTTAGCTTGTGATTCATGGGTTTCCGGGTCTTGGATTTATGTTTGGTGTTGAGATTTAAACATGGTGTATGCCGAGTGGCACATTTACACGCTGTTATTGCCTTATTTCTGTTTTTAAATTATTTTACTTTCGCAAGTTTGGTTATTTTCCGCAAAGTTAGGCTTACCTAGTCGTAGAGACTAGGTGCCATCACGATAGTTCACGGAGGGAGAACCAGGGTCGTGACAAGTTGGTATCAGAGCTCTAGGTTCATAGGAGTCATGGATCACAAGCCGGTTTATTAGAGTCTCGCTGATTGGTACGGAGGCGTCTGTACTTATCTAAGAGAGGCTATGTAACTCTTAGGAAAAATTCCACTTCATTTTATTTCCTTGTCATGCGATATTTTGACATCACCATTCTAAACTTCTATCTTCTATTCTCTCACAGATGGTGAGGACACGTGCTACCCGAGATGATCAGGCACCCGCACCCCCTACTGCAGCCGTCAGAGGCTGGGGTCGGGGTAGAGGTCGAGGACGCGCATGTGGTGCAGCCAGAGCACCTGCACGAGTTGCCGCCGAGGTACTACCAACGGATCCAGCCGGAGTCCAGTCACCTGACACGCCTACTGCTACTACCACTCCAACTCTCCCGGAGACTCTGGCATAGTTCATGAGTATGTACACCACCTTAGCTCAGGCATGGCTGTTTCCCCTTGCTGCAACCACATCCCAGGCCGGAGGAGGAGCACAGACTCCCGCCGCCCGCACTCCTGAGCAGCGATTTCATGTTAAGCAGGTCCTAGAGATCATTCCAGCACCACCTGCAGTGCCAGTTCAGCCCGAGGACGGGGCAGCTGCTTCAGAGGATGAGCAACAGAGACTTGAGAGGTTCAAGAAGTATGATCCTCCGGTATTCAGTGGACTAGCATCAGATGATGCCCTGGGATTTCTGGAGAAGTGTCACTGTATCCTTTGCACTATGGGTATGTTAGGATCGAGCGGGGTTTCCTTCATTGCTTTCCAGCTTCGGGAGCTGCCTATGAGTGGCGGCGCACCTATGAGTTAGACAGTCTAGACGAGGCTGCTTCACTTACTTGGATTTAGTTCTCAGAGCTGTTCCTGAGAGAGTTTGTTCCTCAGAGCCTCAGGGACGCGCGGCTCACATAGTTTGAGCATTTGCGCCATGGTGCTATGACTGTTTCAGAGTATGTTATCCGTTACACTAGATTGGATAGGCATGCACCAGCCTTGGTTTCCACTGTTCG